CACTGAGAGAGGTGAGAATTGAATTCTGAAATTTGTGAATAAACTGACTGTGTGAAGGAAGAGCAGAATGATTTGCTAAAAGAACTTAAACGGAAGGCAAGGCATTCACCAGCCTTTCAACAAAGAAAAGCAACTGCAGAATCTTAAGTGTAATTTGAGAACAGAAGCAAATTTCTCAAAGAAAAGAAAAAAATCAGAAAATTCTCACAAAGGAAAGCATATATTTTGAAATTATAGGTATGAACTTTTCAAACACTCTATATAATTATAAAAGATTACAACAGTATTATAGAAATAGTCCAAACTCCACTGACACAGAAGGACCCAGAAAAACTTAGTTCATGTGGTGGGAGGAAGATGGTTGTTGGGAAGATGGTTGGTTAATAATTAAAAATTATTAATGTTTAATTAATAATTCAGACACATAATTTAAATAATTTTCTTGAAGAATTTTTCCTAAAGCTCCTTTTTAGTTTTTCATCTCAGATGTTACCTCAAGGTCTCTTTGAATCACTCTGCCCAGTATCATATAGGTCCCACCTAGAACTCAAGATCATTGCTCAATAATGATTACTTAATATTCTCCTTTATAATTTATATCACCCTATAAAATAAATTTATTAGCTTAATCTAACGTACTCCAAAGCCATACTCTAGATAGCTCAATTTTATTCTTCTCCATTTCCGATATCATCATAGTAATTTCAACATACAAATTTACAATGTAGACATTACCAAAATCTCATAGTAACTCATGCTTCTCTATACCATCATCATACTTCAGCAATTTCTCATTTATTACATAAACCATTTATATGAACTTTCTAATTTTCAACCCTACTTTACCACTACGGAAAACCTCTTCACTACCCTGTTGAAAAATCTAACTTAATTGTAACACAACTAGTTGCTCTATTTTTTCCAGCTTCCTTTTAACCCCAATACAACTTTGAAACTAGAGTCACAATTTCAAATATATACTGATCATTTTCCTAATTTACTTCACACCATAAAGCAAACATAATGATTTCCAAGCAGAGTGGTTCTTGCTCCTAAATTGCTCAGTACAGAGGAAGAAAACAATTTAATTTTGCAGATTTGTCATTAAGAAGTTATGTATTCTAGTTTCAATAAAGATTTTCAATGTTACATTGAATCCCATTAAATAAGCTTTTCCATTCCCATTGCTTGTCAATGAAATAAAATAAATTAAAGCTATGAGTCATGAACCTGCTTCTTTCCCATTCTCCATAATGCTACATACACTAGATTTGTCAAGATTATACGTTTTAGAATAATAATTCCTTGGCCTACCCCCATATAATCAGAAAGCATGGGTATGGGGCCCATAAATCTGCTGCATGCTTTTTATCTGCCTCTAAATCTTCACCTGTGCTTTCTTTGCTAATAACCCAGTTCCTTCCTTGATCCATTAATTAAATTTTTTTAATAATATCTTTTTCTCTTCTAATTCTAAAACATTTAACATTTAAATGTATATTACTATAAAGGCTATAGTAAATGGAAATAAAATAAAGGTTTTATAAGCTAGCTATTATTAAAAAAAATCAGGGTCTATATTGAAAAACAAATTCAGCAACAGAATAATCTAGTAAAATAATACCCAAAACATGTACAATTTAACACTATATTATGGACTATGTTTTCACAATACATACAATTATATGTCACTGTGAAATAAGTATTTGAATAATAAAATCTTTCTAGATTACAGTAACGAAAATATAATCAAATATTTCTTCATAATAGTACTAACAACAGGAAAACAATATATTTATTTTTAAAACCTTGGTTAAATTTATTTTTTCCACATTAACATTTAATTTTGGAAGCAAATAAATGATTTTTCCAAAATACAAACACAGACACACAAACACCTTTTTTTAATGAAAACTAAACTGTTATAACAAAATACCTATTACAGTGGTATTTTTGTCTGAGTAGGAAACTTACAGCATCCCTAAGGCATAAAAGCCCTATCTATATGTGCTAGTCCAATTCTAACAACAGTGCTATATATCCATTTTGGCACTGTTCCTCAAATTTGATACTTAGAATCATCTGAAGTTCTGTTTTTCAAAATATTTTTCTTCACTATCTTATCTATTGACTTCTAGTCATGCTATAATATACATTATTAGCTTGTTATAATGTCCTTCTTGAAAATTTCAGAACACTGAAATTTCCCTTCTGCAAGTTAGTTTGTGTAAAACTAACTATTTTCAATTACCAGTTACTAATAACTTTAGTCTCCACTGGAGTTCAAAATGACTTAAAAGCCCCAAAATGATTTAAAGGTCTACAATAAACATACAGTGTAGAGAGTCGTGGCACAACATAAAAACGAGTTTGTTCCTGAAGAAAAATTTAAAAAGTGTTTGTTCCTAAAAAGAAAAGTGTTCAGCCAAGAAGAAAGGCAACCTACACTGTCCTTAAACATTAATAAGAAGGAATATGTAGTTCAAAAGCTTTTTAAAAATATATATTTGGCCCTAATGATTTCTCTGGAGGATTCTATCAAGCAATCGAAGAAAATAACACTAATTTCACATAATATCTTCTAAAAAGTGAAGAGAAGGGAACATTTCTCAGTTCACTTTATGAGGTCAGAATTATCCTGATACCAAAACTAAATAACAACATAAAAAAGTGAAAATTACAGATCCATCTTTATTCTAACCTAAGATACAAAAGTCTTCAACAAAATACTAGCAAACAGAATCTAGCAATGTATAAAAGAATAATATTCCACAAACTTCTATATAAAAAACTGGTTCAACATTTGAAAGTCAATCAACATAATCTACTACCCCAACAATGCTAATGAACAAAGTTATATTAACTGACATCAAAAAGAATGATAAGAAAATAAAACATCAATTTTTGATAAAAATTCTCAGCAAAATAGGTATAAAGAAGAATTTACTTGATAAAGACCCTTCCGGAAAAAAATGTCTGTAGCTAGTAACTTAATGATAAAAGACTAAATGCTTCCTCCCAAAGATTGCATCAAAATTTAAAATAAAAAACTATAAGGCTTTTAGGAAAAAAAATAGGAGAAAATATCTGGTACCTAGGACAAGGCAAAGACTTCTGCAATTTGGTAACTAAAGCAAGAATATAATCTGATAAACTGAACTTCATCAAAATTAATACCTACAAAAACAAAAACAAAAAACAAATAAAACCTTGTGCTGAAAATAAAAACAGGAGTAACAACATGGGGGGAAATAGATGAAAACCACATTTCTGACAAAGGAATAGCAACTAAATATATAAAGAACTCAAACTCAGCAGACAAAGATAGGGGTAGGAATACAATTAGAAATAGACAAAACACATGAACAAATATTTCAACAAAGAGGATTCACAAATGACAAATAAGCACACAAAAACATGTTCAACAAGATTAATAAACATCGGAAAAGACTCAACACTATTAGCTATAAAGTGGATTTTCATAGTGGTTTTATAATTTGCGTATTTTTTACCCAAAATGTTTAGGACATAGTATCCAAAGTTGCTTTGGTAGTGTACTGGGTTTCAGGTTTTGAAATGTTTACATGAATATATATTGAGATATATAGGGACAGGACTAAAGCCTAACTATGAAACTCATTTACATTTCATGTATACCTTATATACATAGTCTGAAGCCCAAAAGTGCAAAAAACCCAGATATCCTTCAACAGATGGATAGTTAAATGAACTAAAGAATATTCACACCATTAACTAGTTAAACGAACCAATGTTGATAAATGCCACAATTTGGAGAGATTTTGAGGTAATTATTCAAGTAAAAAAGTTAAACCCCAAAGGTCAAACAATATATGATTGATTTTCATAACATTCTTGAAATAAAATTAAAGAAATGGAAAATGAATGATTGTTAGGGTGAAATTCAAAGGAGAGAATGGAACAAGAGGAAGTGTGTTTGGCTATAAAGAGCAAGAAAGTTATTCTTATGATGTTATAAGTGTTCTATACTTGACTTATCAATGCTAATACCTGCTTGTGATGGTACACCACAGATTTATAAGAAGCTATCATTGGAGAAAACTAGAAAAGATATATAGAATATCTCTGTATTATTTCTTACTAGTACATGCGATCCTACAATTATCTCAATATAAGTTTAATTGAAAAAGTATTTGTTGCATATACATCATATTTATGCTTGCCCAAAATTTTCTTCAGTGTATACATTCTGAAAAAGTATTTCATTAATTTCAATTTATATATTTCTACAGTCTAGGGAAAAAATGCTGATCACCAGAGACATCAAAAAGTAAATGAATTTCCCTCAGGAAAAAAAAAAAGAGTATTCTCTATAAAATTGTTAAAATAGAGTATATTTAAGGGAGCTACTTCATTGACCACAGATATAATGAGGCAATCTATAAGACAAAATGCAGGAATTAAAGATAACGTATCAATTTTAGTGACTGTATACATAACTATGCAATAGATATTTTATATGCCCATAATAAAGAAATACTAGCCTATCAAAGTCATTTTCTAGAATATACTAGAATGCACACTGCTACATTTCACAATGATGAACAATTCTTTAATTCTCTTATACATATTACTCATAAAATACAATTCTAAACCTGAGTTAGTAGTTTTAAGAATTTTAAATATGTAAATTACCTGCAAACAGAACACTGTCGCTGAGGCTGTAGAGCAGTGAACATAACAATCATAGAATAGTTTCGAGGTGGTGCCTTTATAAATTTTCGGAATTTATCACCATTCATTCGGAAGATTGAACGCCTAGAACTCCATTCCATCAGCTGTTCTACTTTTTCAGCCAAAAGATTCTGTAATTAAACACAGGAATTTAAATTTACACAGGGTTACAATTCTTCAGTTTAGAATATAAACAGATTACACTGAGAATATCTTTTATCATAAATTACTTTCTGTTCAGAGTCCTTCTCTTGGTGAATATATTGTTAACTGACCAGATTGCATAAAATATTTCATTTTACTTTTTCTAATGACTTCAAAAGACTATTTTAAAAAGATACTAAAAGTAAAACAATTCAATTTCTGCTTCCATAAAGATGCCATAGATATACATTTTTCTTATTCCCTACTAAACAGAGCTAAAAATCCTGTTAATTATGTATAAAACAAACATAAGAAGATTGTGAAAGGTAGAAAGAAGGCAGCTTGGCCTGCAGAATGAGGAGTTCCTCAGGTTCTTTTGGTCTCATAATTCCCAGACCAGATGTTAGAGAAGTCAACAATACTAAAACGTGAATGGATACAGACCAAAACACACACACACACACA